AGTGAGTCAGTGAGTCAGTGAGTCAGTGAGTCAGGGAGTCAGTGAGTCAGGGAGTCAGTGAGTCAGTGAGTCAGTGAGTCAGTGAGTCAGTGAGTCAGTGAGTCAGTGATTCAGTGAGTCGGTGAGTCAGTCAGTCAGTCAGTCAGTCAATCAGTGAGTCAGTCAGTCAGTCAGTCACTCAATGAGACAGACCGTTAGTTCTGTTACTACTACCGTTAGCCTTACTGTTACGTTATTGCTATGTTACTGTAATGGTGGCCATTACTACATCTGTTACTTCTACCGTTACCAGGTATATTATGAGGCAAGGGCGGATAATGAAAACTATACATCTATTTTGATTTAATATTTAGTGAACTCGCATTTTAACTCAGTGCCGATGATTAGATTTTAAGTTAATTTGTGTGCCTATGACGACAGCAAAATGAACTATATCAGCAACTCAGTCTTCCCACCGTAAGTCTTAAAATCAAGTTAATTCAGTTCAACCTGAAAACCCATTGGCAAATACTGTTCCATCATCTTTTGTGACTCCAATAATGATATTGCTCTTGTTGAAATTGCCTTCCTTAAGGAGTGTGAGCGGGGAGTCTGCAAAAATCAAATAATAGTAAAATGCACTAAGTGATAAGATATTCGCACATTTTAACGCATATTCATTGACAGAAACTTTATTTTTTTTTCCCGTCAGTTTTTGTCTTGTCTTGGATGTCCACCCTAAAAATAATGCGTAGAGAGCGAAATAGTGTGGACAGTAAATAAAGAGCTCAACTCATTCACTGATGGTTTGGTGCATTGATTTTCTTAAAAAAGAATATTTTCTATTTTGCATAAAATAAAATAAAAGTAACTAGAATATGAAGTGTTGGTACACCGTTAAAAGAGACGTCTAAAGATTCCAGGAAATTATACTTTAAAACTACGGCCCAGGCTGCGTTTGTTTGAGACCATTTAGATCATAATCAATGATCCAAAATCACTTGAGGTGCCTTGTACTTCAAATAAAGGGACGAATCCTTGCCTAGAGTGGATTCCTCGGTTTTTTTGATGCACCATTAGTTGTAAACCAAAACCAAAAATAAAGGAGCAGAGTTGAAATCGTATCAAATTGCCATACTGGTTGTCCCGGCAAGAGACAACTTTGATTATAGCATAACACATACCTGGCATAAAGTAACCATCCACAACCGGTGCAAAACGTAAAAAGTTAAGATCATCAAACACTTTTAGTTGAACGGATGAAAGGTCTTGAAACGATTTCTTTTTCGCACAGGTTTTCAGGGAAGCCATCTCACATCCCACGGCCTTAGCGAAGCTCCTGGGGAAAAGATCGAAAAAAAAAACCCCTACCAAATGTAAAAGAATTGGAAACAACCATACAAAGAGAACATTAAATGTTACCTGAAGAGAGGAATGCAAAACTGCTGAATGCTGATAAATGCTTTACCTTGCTCGTAATTCAGCTTCATCTTTTTCAAACAGTGCTGACAAAGTTACTGCCGTTCCACTCTGTATGATAACGTTCTGGTACAAACCGCTGGCCAACGGCGACAGAAGCAACAGCGCAACACTCATTCCGCCACCCGACTCACCAAATATGGTGACTTTCTTGGAATCACCACCAAATCTTGAGCAAAAATAAATACTGAAATAAACACAGTGATGACAGCGAAGAATAATCCCGTCCCCAGATCTCTTGCAGCCTTCAGCTTCTTCCACAAGCGATCTGGGAGGAGTGTTAATGTGTACTGCAGTTTGTTACCCACTGCAAACAAAGGTAAATACTCTTTTTCTTTGGCCATGCTATTAAACTTAACAAGAAATAACACGCAAGTTGCGGTGATAAACATGGCAATGAGACGCATTGCTGTAAAACAAAAACATAAACAAAAACAAAAACAAAAAACCAACAAACAAAAAAGGGATATATCTTATTCCTTGACGTTTGTTACGTTTGAACATACATCTTTAGTAGTGACCGTTGAGAATAAAAGAACGACTGAATTTAAATTCAAGATGAGTAACTAATCAATATTTGGGAAACAACAAAAATGACAAAAGCGAAAAATGTGCATATCATTAAATCATGCAAGCTAATGAAAATAAAGCTTTTCGTTGCTAACATTATTATTATCCTTGTTCCTTTATGGTTTATCATTACCTCTTTGGCGTTTCTCTATCTTATTAAACTGTTATTTTCAGGTTTCCTACCATTTAAAGGTAATTTTGTATGAGGCCAAAATAACTCAAAATACCGTGACCGAGCTCTTTTAATGACCAGTTGACGTGACGTGATCTGTAATAGGGGATGTGCTTGTCAGCTACTGGTGACAAGCTACTGGCACTGGTGCTCTAAAATGTTTAGTTTTTCTGTCATGCAATCTACTCGTTGTTTCTTCAATCATTCGCACGCTCCCTTGTTGTTGTTTCGACATTTGTTCGTCACCTTGTCTGTTGCGCTCATCTTTGAATGAACCGAGAAAGTTGTCAAAGTTGTGACGCGTGACGCGTGATGCTTCCGTGAATGAATTTCGCTTTAATCGAGGCCTGAGGTAAAAGGTGATTTAAATAGGTGGATTTTAACTCAAGATTGCAGAAGGAGGCAATAAAACCAGTCGACTAACGTACCTTTCAATGTTTTTATTCACCCATTTCATGGCCTCTATCTGATCCAGCATGCCGTAGTTCCCTTTCAAATTATCGCTGTAGGAACTCAAGAATCCAAAAACTCCCAAACGATAAGCAGCCGTGACAACAATAACGTTCCCTTCGGCTGCCAGCAAGCCACCATCGTAAAATAGAGTATCCCCTATGATATATGCGCCGCCATGAATCCACAACATAACTGCAAGCGATGAATCGCTTGTGGCATTGCCTGGGACATACACATTTAGCAGAAGGCAATCCTCGCTCATGAGCGAGAGTCTACTAGGCTGTCCGGGCAGACTAGGTTGTGGGCAAATCTTGTCAATCTTGTTTGCTTGCAGTGTTGAAGTCCACTGGTTCGGTGGAACAGGGTATTCAAAACGTTCCGCTTTGGCAAACGGTATGCCGAGGTAGGTTATAACAGTCTTGTTCGTCGACAGTGATATTACTGACCCGTTGACGGGTCCATAAGTCGTATTGACGACCTCAGAAGCCACTGAGAATCCACAGCAAAGGCAAAGTGATAGCACGTGAAGTAACCACAGGGAGAGTGTAGATGCGGTCATCACAATAAACAGGTGAAGTTTACCGTGTTCAGAACGATGATTACTTAGCTGTAAATCTTATCAATATTCACCGACCGATTTATTCAAATGCTACAATGACGCCGTCACGGCACTAGTGACCCATGACGTAATGACACTCTTTGTAATGCAACTGCAGTACGCGTGAATTTTTTGTTTGTTTCAGGAAAATACAGAGGGTTAGGCAAGTTTTGCTTTTCTTAGTTAGTTCTATATAAAAGTGAGATGTTTCTTGATGTTCATTGGCGAGAAGGCAGTAAGGGTAATGATCACATCTATGAATTTTGTTTTCGTTTTGTAAATTGAAACAGTCTCGTAATATTTGTTTGATCACCGTTTGACTGTGGTTTCTTTTCACCAATTGTGCCCATTAAACCAGGCCGCACGCGATGCAAATGTTGGCTAATATTCGAGCTTCCTTCTAAAAATAATCTTTGTAAAACAATAAACACTAAAAAAGTTAGCCTTTACCCTTAAAAATTGCCAGCAAATGTGAAAATATTTGGCATGAAATGTGAAGGCAAATGTTACTGCTCTATTACTATTTTGAGGCTACTGAAACTATCGCGGTCACGCAACGTCTCAACAAATGTTAGTTTATAGAGGGGACCTCTTCTTGCTAACCAGAAAACCGCTGGAAAACACTGGCATGGCTTTGTCATTATGTTGTATGTGTCTTTAAAACCTCGGTTGTTGACTGAAAAAAAAAGGGGATTTTAGCAATAGACTGGAGTTGAAAGTCACCTAATGAAATCATTCAAAGTACACTCTTTTTTTTAATATAAGAACGTCTAATTTTAGAGCTGAGGCTGAACGTTCTTATATTTTTCTTTTTGCGATTTGAGGCTGAAAATGTTTTTCAATTTACATGGTATACAAGGCCAACTACCTTGATAATACTTCAGACTTTGTATCACCTGGTGACTTTGATGGTTTGGAACACAAGTTATTTTGGAACAGTTATAAATAAGAACTGCTGATTATTACAAACCCGAGATGTGTGTCATGTAATAAGACAACCATCATGGTTAATGTTATACAAAACATGCCCTTAAGTATTTGGGTTAATTTTACATTTTTTGTTACTGTTATTTTATGCTTGTCATCTAGTACATACAGATTAGAAAAATAAAAACGTTCTTAATCGACTAACAAAACAGAAAACAGAAAAGCCTAAAGACGTAGGCCACTTTCTCAACCAAAATTTTGATTTGTGCGATTGCCCGAACAAAAATGTCACAAAGCGCGATGCTAGTGGAAAGAATGGCATGCTTTCATGTTTCAAATGCCTTTTAATTTAAGTAGATTGAGTAGATTGGGGAAAATGTCAAATATGCCTAAAACATGTGTTTTTACCAAAAAGTTCCCCGTACCCGTTTCTCGCACCCGGAAAGCCGTGGCAAAATCTCAAACCTGATGATTACAGAGCTGTTTTATTTACGACTAGAAGCTCCCTTCATACAAGAAGTTTCAGGCGTATACACCTCTCTTTTTTTTTTCTTTCTTTTTCTTTTTCTTTTTTTTCGATACAGATAACCAAAAACTTTCCAGGGCTTTCGGGAAACGGGCCCGTTCCTCGAAGGTCCCGAAACGTTTTCACACCCGAAAAGCCATAGCAAAATCTCAAACCTTATGACTACAAAACTGTTTTTTTTTTCTTCACCTATTCTTAAGAAGAACACAGGTTCCCTTCATACAAGAAGTTTTAGGTGTATACACCTCCATGTCTTTAAATACTGATTAACTAAAAATTGTTTTTCGAGCCCCAAAAGTTTCCGGGGCTTTCGAGGAACGGGTCCCTGGTGTCAATGGATTATTGCTCTGTCTTTTCTAGATCGACTACATGATTTATTGCATTCTCGAAGTTCTTTTCTCGTCTCTTTCGATTGCTGCAAAGAACAGTCAACACGACCAGTAAAATCACAGATAAAGCGCCAAAGAGCCCTGTTAAGATAGCAAGAACCATCTTAATGTTATCTGGAAAAGAAAAAATATATATACATAAAAATTAAAGATAAATTTCAAATTTAATTTGCCATAAATTTCAGGAAAATTCTCTCATAAGTGCTTGGCGAGTCTTCTCCTATGGGTTTTATATGATTTCATCAGCTACTAGTGAGAACCATAACACAAAGCAAATTTTATATGCTGTGCTTAATAGAATAACCAGCGTACACGCAAAATGCAAACATATAAAACCAGCCAAATAAACAGAACCAAACCAAAAACACGAAACACAATCAAATGAGATACATAAAGTACGTTTCGTACTTAGATTTTTTCTATTTTACCTTTTTTGTGGTCAGGTTTTCCAGTTGTTGTCGGCACATCGCTACTTCTGGTGGGTTTTACTGTTTCTCCAAGACTTGGTAGAAGCTCATTCCATAAAGCCATCTTATTTGGACGCATCTTGCACCTTACTGTCATATTTGAACTTAGTCCCAAGTATTCTCCTCGCTCAGTGGTGTACTGGGGCCAATCGGTTCCTAAAGGCGTTGGACTATTAGGATTTCTGAAATCACAAATATGGGAGAGTAAGGGAATTACAGTGCAATAATGGAAAAGCATTTGTGTCAGTACATTACAGTCCTGAACTGAACGGCAATGGTTAGTGGTAATAGTAGCGTTTTGATACGTACTAACTTCCCTTCCAATAAAATTCACGCATCTACATCTGCAGACTCAAGTCACTAGTACAGATATTTTCGGATCAAATCTCTTATCTATTTTGCCAGCCTAAGCACTAGAAAACTTTAAACGATTGAGAAATTCGTAACGCCACTTGTTGAATATATATATTTTTAATTTTTTTTTTTAGAATTAACAATTTTTAGCTTCTGCATATTTATTACTTACTCACTATTTTTACTCAGGAACAGCCTGAACACCACCTGAGGGTGAGGATGCCTCCTGGCTAAGGATATTTTATGACGATAATGATAATAATGATGATGATGATGATGATGATTATCATCGTAACCATTATTTATATTTACTTACCCAGTTTTGGCAAAGTTAGTCCAGAAGGTCATGATTTCCTTGCTGAAATTGATTTCTTCGGCAGTTGTAAAGTTTTTAGACATTAGCAGAGGGAAACCAAACGTATAACCAAGGTCAGCTGCGTGAAATATTCCCCACCAGGAGGGTGTTGGCGGAAAACCTATTCCAAGACTTTTGGGTGCTTTTTCAAGCTGATATAAGTATGTTGGAGATTCTTTCTTTACAAATGCATTGGCCGACTGAATTGCGGGGGCTTTGAAGTTTGCATCTGTGTTGATGTCAATAAACTGCTGGCGTAAGAGAAAAGGATCGGTGGCATTTGACCAGTCTGTGTATTCATAAATCAATAAGTCGAGGATTTGAGAGTTTTGATTTCGAGCCCACGTTCGATTTTTTATCGTCTCTATGAACAAATTCCTTGAGATGCCCTTAGAAAGGTCAAGAACTGGTAAGAAACCTACAGAGAAATAGAATGGTAGAAATTAGTGCAAGGATAAGCTTCCTCAAATAATGGCTACTCGCTCATTTACTCAGTCAGTCAGTCAGTCAGTCAATCTGTCAGTCAGTCGTCAGTTGTCTGTCGCCAGTCGTCGTCATCTGTCGTCAGCTTTCAGTTGTCATCGTCGTCCTCAATCAGTCAGTCAGTCAGTCAGTCAGTCCGTCAGTCCGTCAGTCCGTCAGTCCATCAGTCCGTGAGTCTGTGAGTCCGTGAGTCCGTCCGTCAGTCAGTTAGTCGTCAGTTGTCTGTCGCCAGTCGTCATCTGTCGTCAGTCGTCGTCATCTGTCGTCAGCCTTCAGTTGCCATCGTCGTCCTCAATCTGTCATCCCGTCAGTCCGTCAGTCCGTCAGTCAGTCAGTTAAACCGTCATTCATTCAGTCGTCAGTCAGTCAGTAATCATGTAATGTCAGTCGCCAGTCGTCGGTCGTCAGTCGTCGGTTGTCAGTCGTCTGTCGTCAGTCGTGAGTCGTCAAACGTCAGTCAGTCTGTCAGTCAGACTTTCACTCAGTCGTTTAGTCGTTAGTCATTCAGTGAGTCGTCAGAGGCCAATCGACAGTCGTCAGTCGTCAGTCATCATCGTCGTCAGGCGTCAGGCGTCAGGCGTCAGTCGTTAGTCATCAGTCGTTAGTCGTCAGTCGTTAGTCGTCAGTCGTCAGTCGTCAGTCAGCCAAGTACTGGTAAGACAAATAAAGAGAAATATACTGCTATAAATTACTGCATTCATAAGCTTCCTCGAACAATGGCGACTCACTCATTCACTCACGCTCTCTCAGTCAGTCAGTCAGTACCAGTCTGTACCGGTTGTTTAGCTCTAAAAATAGCCAATTAAATAGCACCTGGATTAGCGCTGACTTGACTGTTTTATGAAAGGGCGTTGCATGGTTGTTAGTGGAGGTTTGAGAGTATTTACAAGGTTCAAAGTAGGGGGTCCGGGGGCATGCTTCCCGGGAAAAATCGAATTTTCAGAAGTTCAATAACATTATTTTAGGGAACTGGGGGAACTTTAATTTTGCATTGTTGTAAATGCTGTCATCACAACGCCCGTTTTCAAATAGAAATAAACAAGTCTGCAAAAAAAAAAAAAAAAAAAAAATGGTGGCATTACTTTCAAGGGAAGTCACTCTTGGAGGTTCACCTATATCCAGCAACCAAATTCTTAAAAGTACTAGGGGATGAGTTCCTGCTGCAGAGTATCTAGCATAGTAGGGGAGTCCGGCAGCTTGCTCTCCGAAAAAGTTTGAATTTCGAGAGTCCCAGAAACGCTTATTTTGGGTATCTGGCAGAGCATTTGCACTATTATAGACACTGTAATTACAATACCTATATTTAAGTAAAAATAGACAAAAGCATGACAAAAAACTAACCCTGCCTCGGTTTTTTTAAACCGGAAGTTATTTGTGGATGTTGAGATATATTTAGCAACCAAATGCTTAGAAGGGGTTTAGTTCCTGCTGCAGGGTATCCAACAAAGTAGGAGGTCGGGGAGCATATTCACCCGAGAAAATTTTAAATTTCCAGAATCTCTGGAACACTATTTTGGGCAGAACGTTTGCTCTGCTGCGGAAGCCTTGAATAAGGTAAATATTTTCAGTGACCCCTCCCTCCCCATTTAAGGCATATTTTTTTAACTGCCCGCCCCCCTAACTCCCACCACCCCCTCCTTATAAAAAATGAACGGTTCCTTAGGGTCAGCGTTTCCCTTACGACTGCCGTCACCAAATATGTTGTGAAACATGAGTGAAGATTTAAAATGATCTTTTGACTTGGTATTTCAGTGAATTGGCATTTTAACACAGGTTCGATCATTAGATTTTTAGTTCATTTGTTTGCCCATCATGATAGCAAAACGAACTAAACTAGCACTCAACTCTACCCCACCACAAGTCATAAGATCACGTAATTCAGTTCAACCTGTAACACCATTGGTAAAGACTGTTCCATCATCTCTTGTGACTCCAATAATGATATTGCTTTTGTTAAACTTTCCAGCTTTAAGGAGTTTGAGGGGGGAATCTGCAACAATCGAGCAATAGTAAGATGCATAAAGTGATAAGAGATTTTCACATATCTTAACGTATTCACTGATGCATGTAATGTTGGTCTAAAGTTACAAGAAATGTCTGAACATGAAAAAAAAAAAATAAAATAAATAAATAAAATAAATAAATAAAATACTTTAGGAGGACTATAGCCCAGGGGTGCGTTCATTTAAGACTCATTTCAAATAATCCGGATCAGGCCAAGATCAATCATCGAAAATCACTGAGATCATGGTACATCAAATGGAGTGATGGGCAATCCGAAGAATCTACACTGTTCCTTGCTTGGAGTAGATTTCTCGTTTCCTTTGATGTACCACAATCCGAGTAATGTTGGATCACTGATCCTGGTCGAGATCATCCTGAGGAACTTATCCTTAGTCGGAAACCCAAAATAGAAACATCGAAATGAATTCGTATCAAATTTCTTTACTTTCTACTAAATGTAACATTGATTGTGGAATAGCACATACCTGGCATAAAGTAACCATCCACAACCGGTGCAAAGGGCAAAAAGTTGGCAAAATCAAACACTTTTAACTGAGCGAATGAAAGGTCTTGAAATGGTTTCTTTTTCGCACAAGCTTTCAGTGAAGCTATCTCGCATCCCACGGCCTTAGCAAAGCTCCTGGGAAAAAAAAAATTGACTAAAAAACTATAGGAATGAACAAAGAAAAAAATAATAATAACAAACGTAATAAAAATGGCAATAACCAAACAAAGATAACATTAAAGGTGACTTAGTCACAGTTTCCACCTCTTTCTAAGACCTAGATTTCGATGGTCCATTACAACCACTCATTATCAGTTTTCAGAGCCACCTTAAATTTTCGATAATTTAAACTGCTTCTAAACACCATGCAAAGAATTGTTTTTTCGTGAAAAAAAAAAAAAAAAAAAAAAA